CATGCAAGCCAATAGGAGACTGGTGGAAGTGGTTGAAGGAGAGATGCTGAGACAGGACCATAGCTTGGGATGTCTTTTCTATTGCAAGCGGTACCACAACCTGTAGGGCAGAAGACTGTAGATAGCCTGGGGAGACCCCCCTAAATGGCTACAGGTATGCTCGCAGGCAGGAGGGAGCAGTCACAAGCCAGTACTGCCTGTGCTCTCCAGAGGCAGGTAAAGCCCAGCACTCCTCCGCCTGTTTGCGCTCATCAGCAGAGCTGGCTCACCAGCAGCCGGCTGGTGGGAACATGTCCGTGAAGTGCCCACAGCTGGGCTGGAGCCACTGGTGCTCCTGAAACAGCTAAAAGACATGTGGGTGAAAAGGTAGCCCAGATCCTCCTGGTCTCTTTTCTCGGGTAACGTGTGACTTGAATGCTGTCCTGCTCTGGGCACACACAAATCCCTGCCTGCTCGCTCAGAGATGCCTGTGTGATTTGAGCTTTATTGCATTTGAACAGCACCTCCCCTCCTCTGCTGTGTGGGGACTGTTCAGGTGAGTGATACTCTCACGGTCACTGTGTTGGGTCAGGAGTCACCCTGCAGGAGTGGGCCTTTGAGAAATACTGTAGCTACACTGAAGCTGCGTGAAGAGAGACACTGCTCAGTGCAAGTAAAAGTGTTGGAGCAGAGCCCCTAATGAGGGAGAGACCATGGTTTATACACAGTAAGTGTACTTACTCTGCTAAACAGTTTACAGCTCTTTGCCCAGTCTGGTTTGTGGCAATTTTATTTCCCCAATACACAGACCTAAAATATGCTTTTGAAGTGTTTTCCTCAAGTGTTTATATCTAGAAAACTTGTCCTTGAAAGCCAGAATAAAGCCTGCCAGGAAAAGTGAGTAGGTGTTTAACAACTTCAAACACACCACACCAGATTTGTTATCTTTCAGAAATGGTGACCCATGGGACCCTTTCCATATTACTGCCGACTTAAAGTACCCAACTGCTTTCAGCATAGCAGGTACAGCAGCTTACAGATCCCCTCTGAACCTATTGAGTGGGTTTGTTTGGGTGTGCAGAGGGACCGACAGAGGTAGGTTAGTTCCCCCTTTTGAGGGGCTGGCAGGTGAAGCTCAACGAAGCTGCTGCCTTAGCTGGAAGTGAAACAATGGTTGTGCTTTAAATTAAGAGTGAGCGAGGTCTAGGATAAGTGTGCAGATGTCAGAGGAATTGCTCTGGTTGTCCACTCCTGCATGCTAAATTGTGTGTGGGATGCATGAATAGTTTGCATCTTTACTTATTCCATATTAGGTATGGCTGGGGTGGTGTTGGAGCTAATGTTTATCAGACTCTCTAATGCTCTGAAACTTCTGCTTCTGCACAGTTTTCTTCCAGCAACAGGAGTTTGGACTTTGCTTATGTACATTGCAGGGCACACAGGAGCTGCTGGCCCCCACCCCCAGGGGCTAGTTACTGTCACGCTGTTCCCTCAGGTGTTCTGATGTAACTGTCGAGGGAGTTGCACCGGGACCAGGATCAGGTCCCACACGGATTAAACTTATTCCCTCTTCATTTTTCCTTGACATGTGTGTTTGTGGGGATTTTGTGTGTGCTCTGGTTCATTGCTGTGCCTTATGGACAGGAGGAGGTGGGAAAGAGGCAGGGACTCCATACAGTAGAGTAATTGCTGCAGCTCCTACCTCATCAAATAGGAGAATTAAATTCAGTTTGGTTATGTTAATTATCTGGATGGCTTGAGAGAAAATGTGTCATTAACTGTGGAGCAGAGGAAGATATTAGTAACCTTATCACTTCTCTCTGCAAGCCAGGACAAGAGACCAGAAATTGTGGCTTGTGGAACAGGGAGGGGTTAGCTCAGCATAAGGTATGGGCAAAATCACCACCTGCCCCAAGAACAGCATTTTATTTAAATTACTGGGGCTTAGTGTATAACAAAGCTATGGAATTTGCAGTTCCTTTACAGGGAAAAAAAATTTTCTACATCCACTCCCATTTCCATGTTTTTAAAGGGCTTAAATAATTGTAAGCTAAATGTGAATCAAACTCTCCTGCGCATAGGAAATGTAGTGCTTTGCCAAAAGGTTGTTGATGGGTGACCTGTTAATGGAAAGTGGAAAAGAAAAACTATCTGCTAACAGCTTGTTTTGCCTGTGAGCTCATAAATTTTCTAACAGAACCATGTTATCCTGGGTTCTAAATTACATGGATAGTTGCATACTTGAACTGCCTTGCTCTTGATATATCGATACTTCAACTTCACTAGGTTGGTTTCGTGAAATTTTTTGCTACTTTGTTCTTTGCATTTTGATTTTGAAAATCGTTTTCTATACCCTTTTGGTCCTCATGTTGCATGGAAAACTTGAACATTTGCCTACATGATGAATCCTATGATTTCTAGCCAAAAATAACTGCTCGTATCTGAAAGTGCTCATCAGATTCTGAGGCAAATTGCAATGGGTCAAAGGTCTCTTGCCAGCAGAAGAAAGAACATAACTTGTTCCTTTTGGTTCTTACTGGTACTTGAAGAATAAGCATACTTTATAGATTTCCTAATTTCCTGCTATAAAACTTAAGTAAATCTTGAATTCTGAGTATAGAAAGTTTTTGTTTTCCAGAAAATCCAGAAGATTTCAGATTCATGTTATCAGACCTCAGTCTCCTTCCTGTCTGATATTAAATATGATTAAAATGAAACCCTAAAGATTGTAGTTGTTCACAGCAATGAAAGCAGAAGAATAAAGCTTCAAAAATGAACATCCAAAAGAAAGAGGCTTGAGTTACAAGGAATTAAAAAAGGAATCTGGGGTACATCTGGGAGGAACATACAACTAAAAGTGTTTCTTAAAGATAAGGCTGTATTATGATGGGACGTTTTGAAGGAAAATTAGAATCCCTTTCTACTGAGAATGCACAGTGAAATATGACTGATAGAAATGTTTTCTAATGCAGCTTTGCTAGCTGTGTGGATAGGGGCCAAGCCACGTTTGAACTGTTTCTGAAACCAGACAAATAAGCATTGTTTATCCTAGACTAGCCAAACTATTTCAGAAAACAGTTCAGTCAGAGCAACATTCATTTCTAGTCTTAATTAGTTTTCAGAATGACTGTAGAGGGACGACATTTTTCATCCACGTCTTTTTTGACTGTCTCTTCTCTCCTCCAAATCCCCCTATTCTTCATCCCACTGGAGTAATTGCAGCCATCAGCAATTGCAGTGGAAGTGCATGTGGAGCTAAACTGAGCCCTGACAGAGTTGGTGTGCTGCACACCTGCTGCAGGCAGAGTGAGAGCAGTGT